CAAACTTTGTAGCCCTTCATCTCAGCATGCTACTGGCCAAATATCATCACCCTGGGCATTTTGGTTATTGAGAAGAAGTTGTTTAAAGGTTTTTTAATACAATTGACCCATGTGACCTTGAAAATGGGTCAAGGTCATTAATTTTACCAAACTTTGTAGCCCTTCATCCCAGTTTGCTTCTGGCCAAATATCGACACCCTAGGCCTTTCGGTTATTAAGAAGAAGTTGTTTAAAGTAAAATATTGACGACGGACGGACGGACGACGGACAGATGGACGACGGACGCGCCACGGCATAAGCTCACTTGGCACTTCGTGCCAGGTGAGCTAAAAAACCACTGTCCATATATTGACAATCAACAGTAAATAGGATTGTGAGTGTCAAACACTACAAGATTGACACAACAGTAGTTATAATGGTACAGTGGAAGTCTGAAAGAAGCAAAACAATAAATACATGTTTTTTCCAAGAATTGAAATTATGATATTTTTATTGACTTTTCATTCCTTGACTGCTTGTTCCTGTGAATACCCTTCTGAAATATCTGAGCACACTCGTCTCTTACTACCAGTAATGTATTCTATAAATATCAGTATACCTACCTGATAGCAGAACAGTCCCAGGGTGATTATGATGTGATCAGTGTAGGAGGACTTAAGTACGGGTAGCACCATAAAGTTGTCATAAAACGCGAGGAAAAAGAAGACAATGAAACCCAGCAAGTGAGACCAGATGTTGATTGTCTCATTGTTCCAGACAAATAAGCTGAAAGATGAATGTGAAAAGTCAGAATTAAAAAATGTATGTTTCCTTTATTCTAATTTTCTAAGTAAACAGTTGGGGTTTTCTTGACATTATTTTTCATATTTTTAAAAAAGAAACAACAGTTTCCTGAATTATATTATCATTATTATTAACTATAGTTCCTCATATAATGTAAGGATCTGCATCAAGAGGTTTGTTATCCACAATGCTTGGGATAACTGCAAAATACTTACTGAGATGATTAACCACATGTATAATCGGATTATATTATAGGTGTATTGACAGACGAGGCTAGTACTATGTCCTGTGTATTACTGGTAATTGGATTAGGAGCTCAACAGTTATAGTTTTGTTAGGACTTGCTTGAGATATTTGAGATGTCTCCAGAGTAGGCTACTTTGTTCATTGTCAATTTTTATTTTGCTTTTCAGATAAAACACTGAAGTGGCTGCTGTTTACTTATGCTACACTTGTACGGTCTATTAGTGAACGTTGTGCAGATATTCCCAAAAACACACAGACTGGCCTTCTCGCTCGTTCAGCTCTGTTTTCACACACAGCACATGCGCTACTCCCGGCAATACATACAACCCTCCCTCTCTAGAGGCAAATACTTACCCTGGTAAAGTTGACCCCCCACAGCCCCAGGATAAATTCACTACAACACTTTGATATTATTGTTTCATAGCTATAGATTTTGCATATGATATCTCTATGATATGAACTCTTGAATTTCAGAAAAGTTCTAGGTCATCATTATTCATTGCACCATTCTGTAAATATTTTATTTTAAATGTTTTGTTGAAAGAATTTGTTCATCTCTGTGGTGGCCCTCCATCATTACTGATGAATGCAGGCTTTAGGAAACATTTCATTTAAATTTAAAAACGCAATTTTATATGATGTGTAGTCAGAAAGACTACTGTAGCAGTGAAGTATTAAGAAATCATACATTTTCTCATTTAAAATCTGAAATACACGGGTTTAAAACATACTTTACCTTTTCAAGCACAAACTAAAGGGCAGAAACACTCTGTAACCTTTGACCACGTATGGATTGCCTTGCAAGAAGTCCGGTATTTCACTATACTTGAACAGTGGTATTTCCTTCTCGTGATCATCACATAGATTGCTGCCACATGTTTCAATTCCTCTGTCAATGTCAATATCAAGTATCTGGTAAGAGTCGCGCTTTACTAACGTTTGACCACTTGACAACGGACGATAGTTGATGTCTTCTCCAAAACGGCCCATGCTCATTTTAGACAAGCACTGCCGTATCGATCAAAACAAACAGATAAACAGTAAGGCTATAACTTATGCATATGAAAATCTGTTTGAGTTGTGAACTAACCGTTTTATGCTCACTGCGTTAAACAGTTCCCAACGTTACCTGCAGTAATCCTGGTATATTTATCAGGTTACCATGCAAACCAAAATAAGACTGCTATAGTAGATCTAGCCTATTTACGTTATTTCACCGACATGTTTCGTTAACCATGAGATCTGTCTTTATCTTGACAAAATTACAATTATGCAAATATTCAAAAGTGTAGGCCATTCCATCTTATAAAATCAATGCATTTTCGTTTCGCGACATGTTAGTTGTTACATGCCCGGTGTTAGTCTCGTTCAACCAGACGCTTGATCACTTGTAATTCAACAATTATCTGTTCGGCGTAGCTTGCGCGCGCAACAAGAGTCTGGTTGAACGAGACTAGCCCGGTGTTTATTTTCCGTAGTCAATGTTAATGCGCTACGCTTGAAAAATCGTTTGCAAGAAAAGCGTTTTGATGACCTGGTAAGATCGACCAAGGGCACATAATTCAAAACTGTCGACACAAGTTACTGTGACTGGACTTTCTCCTTCATATTACATAATAATAACAATAGGCACAACAATATTACATTGCTAAAGATTTGAGTCCGTGATATGTAGGTATGAAATAATTCCCGGAGGATTATGTAGCTCACCGAAGGGGGTCCGTCGATTTACCCAATACAACCACGGAATTAGATTAGATTTGTTATCTAAGTCCGTGATACAACCCAATACAAGCGCCGATTTACCCAATACAAACGCCGATATACCTAATACAAACATCGATTTACCCAATACAACCCAATATTACCCAATAAGAAAGTAAACTCCCAATAAAACTGATATACCAAATAAGTATACAATCAAGTTAAATATATGTAAGATCTTAATCGGGCAAACTTGTAAAATGTATTTTCATTATTTATGAAGTAAATCATGACGGGAATGATATACAATAATTTATCGTTGTTACATTGGAAAAAATACAGCAAGATATATTTCATCATTTATGAAGTAATTATATCAATTACCACGCAAAATGATATTCAATAATTTATCATTGTGATATTGGATAAAATATATAGAGATTAATTTCATTACTTATGAAGNAAAACAATACTTAATTAACAATTACAGTTATGGAACAATTAGATAATAGCCAAGTTGTGCTTTGAATAATCATTTTGATAATAAATAACCCTATTTGTAGTTTGTAATAGAATTAATAGTCATTCACTATATACATGGAACACTCAATTACCCAGAAATAATAAATGGTTAAAATTTCATCAAAATGGTAACTAAATTAAAAAACCCATCAAGAACAACGAAACTTGAATTCAAATATTTACACACATATATATTTGTTCATATTTTTTCAAAATACCGGTATAACTATGATGCTTAATTAGTTGCTGCTGGCGATCTCCTATATTCCAATACATTATTCTAGAAACAAACAGAAATATAGTTAATGATCCTAAAAAGAATATTATTTTTTACGTAATGTCTTTATATATGTAAGTTCTAACAATACAACATATAACAAGTACAAATGGATATATATGAGACTGAGTGAGTATCATTATGTTTTTTCCCCATTATTGTCCTACTATCTACCACTAATGAAATATTCCATCACTCTTTCCAGACATAGTTTACTTGTTAATAGGTCAATATATTGTTAAGACATCAAAAAATATGGCTAGGTTAAGAAAAGCATTTCACTAATGTGTATCCATTCGTTTACTATTTCATTCGTGAATGAAACACAGCTTGAGTTCCTGTTCGTGTGTTGCAAAAAATAGAAGAAAAAACTGTTTTTCTTCGAAAGTCCTCTTTATAGGTATTTTAGGCATCACATATTCTCTGTGTATGATCTATTAGAATTTGTAAATCTTCATGTTTTATCATATGGTGTCGTTAGTATGTCTAACGAAACTAACAGAAATATACTTAAACATACTAGTTCCTATTTAAAAAACTAAACGATTCTTAATTTATAAGTAATATCGTTATACATGCAAGTTCTAACGATATAAAATAAACCAATTACGAATGGTAATATGAAAGTGAGGGAGTTTATGTGCTTGTTCATTATGGTTAATAAATATTCGTTTTTCGTTATTGTCCTATCTTCCACACATAACTTGAATATACAATGTATTAATGAAATTAAAATAATTGAATTCCAGTATCTATATAAAAAGACTTACACGTATATAGGCTAAGCCTGTTGTCTGGTCCATTTGTTAATACATGTATTGTTCTATTTCTTCTAAAACAATTGTATTTATCTTTGTTTGTATTTACAATGAAATATTTTGAAATGAAATAGATTAACTCAAGGATTTCCAAATAACGACGATATTGCCAAAAAATACCCGGGTCCACACAACATCGTTACTTGTATTGGGTACATTTAACTTTATATTGGATAGTATTGGCTATAATCCTTTCAACAACCATTTTCTTTCAACATTGGGGAAACACTGAAACGCGTCATATCTGTATCCTTATATATATATATATACTATCCGCTGTGTTAGTTCAAGTGAGGATCAACTATAAATGCCATTTGACAATGACATTACACAGGTAACACCCCATTTTAAATTTTAAATCTGTAGATAAACTCTGTCAAATCAACATTGGAATTTATCTGAAACTATTTGTAATACTTGCGGATGATACTGTGTTAATGGCCCAGACACCGGAAGGGTTACACCATGTCTTGAATGTGTTTCAAATCTATTGTATAAGTTGGAAGTCAACTATTAATGTACAGAAAACGAAAGTCGTCATCTTTGAAAAAATGGAGATACGGGTGCCCTATAGTAATCACTCTGTCTGTCTTTCTGTCCGTCCACAAATTTTGTGCCCGGCTGATAACTTTGGTATTTATTGACCGATGTACATGAAACTTGGTCAAGATGTTCAGTTCACAAAAATACACCTTGAGGTAGAAAGTCAAGGTCAAAGGTCAAGGTCATTAGGTTCAAAGGTCAAGGTCAAATCTTTTCACTGATGAACATTTTGTTATGACATTATGAAGCAAAGTTGATCAGAATAAAACAAGGAGTCAACTGACCAAAGGTCAAGGTCATCGGGTCAGGGGTCAAGGTCAAATTTTGTAGATTTTCACTGGTGAACATTTGGCTATGACATTATGGAGCAAAGTTGTTCGGAATTAAACAAGGAGTCAATTGACCAAAGGTCAAGGTCACTTGGTCAAGGTCACTTGATTAAGTTTTGTACCTTTTCCCTGATGAACATTTTGTTATGACATTATGAAGCAATGTTGTTCAGAACTTAACACAGAGTCAACTGACATTAGGTCCAGGTTACGGGGTCCAAAGGGTCAAGGTCAAGTTTTGTATTTTTCACAGATGAACATTTTGTTATGAAATAAAGAAGCAAAGTTGGTCAGAATTAAAGAATAAGTCAACTAACCAAAGTTCAGGGTCACTCGGTTAATGGCCAAGGTCATTTGGGTCCAATGGTCAAAGACAAAGTGGATCTCTGACTTTGACCCTGGCTCTTGATGGAGGAGGTATATAAGGTGAAATAAAACAAATCAAAGCTAACAAATGAGTATTGCACCGGTATTTACATTCCTGTTAGCACGGCAAATATGGAGGTGGAAGGAAACAAGACTCACATCATAGTACATGTAAAATGAACTTGCGATTCGTTTTGAAGTCCAAATGTCAAACGTCAAGCTCAGCTATATGGGCAGATTGCTTCATGATGATTATGGGGGATATATTGCCACAAGACGGGGCCTTTACTGACCTGTCAGTGTTCTAGTTTATGGAGAAACCGGAAGACATCCTTTGGAAGTCGAAATCAAGACAAGAATGATCATTTTCTGGTTTACGTTGTTAACAGGAGAAAGCCAGTTATCTAGTCTGATATATAACATGACATCTGTTTTTGCAATCAAATGAACAAATGCATTTTAAATGGAATAATTACATAAAAGATATATTATACAAGTTAGGTTTTGGCAATTCGTGGAGTTTTCATAATACATATACTATAAGTAGAAATCATTTCAAAGCTTAAGTAAACAGCTGTTAAAAGATCAATATACAGAAATGGTTCCAAGAGATAGAACACTCTTCTCGCGGTAAATTCTACTCCATTATTAAGACAAACTTTCAATAGGAACCATTTGTATTTCAATTTCTACTCAAGTTGACTCCATGCAACTGCCAAATGTAACATGTTTCATTTAAGGATTGGATCTTGCTTTGGTCGATTGCATGGGGTGGTGAACTGAGTTGGGTCTTGAAAATGTCTTGAATTTGTTTCAAGACCAACTCAGTTCATCACGACATGAAATCGACTAAAGCAACATTCAATTATCAAACGACAAAACTTAATAAAAAAGATATGTCAGTTATTTTTGTAAATTCCGAACGTTCAATCTAAATTTCCCAATAGAGACTAAACATGTAATTTATAAACATTCATTTTTTCTTCAGTTTAAAGTTTTAATATCATTAACAAGCTCATCTATGTAGCTTTACATAATATCTTATCATTATATCGAACAACTCATGATGTGAGGCGGAGTCATCGAGTGTACAAATTTATGGCGTGAACTGAAATAGGTGCTCAGCGTACTTTCCGAGCCATACCTCTTTACCTCTACATGCTGCAAAGCGAAGCTAGAGGGCTACTGTTATCTTTCTAGGTAAATGCATTAAATACGCACACCTAAAGTAAATATTTTCGACATATGTGACTCGCACTTCGAAAGTCGATGGCAGAAATATGTCACCTAAAATTTAATATACCACAAAATCTATACATGTATGTTCAGAGCCGTGTGACGGTAGTTGGATTTCCAGAGCATAAAACAGGTTCACATAGCTTCAGGTTCCCATAGCTACAGATTCGCATAGCTTCAGGTTCCCATAGCTACAGGTTCCCATATATTCAGGTTCCCATAGCAACAGGTTCCCATAGCTTCTCAGTGCAATCATCGGACGCTCATTTACTGTAAAGAGAACAACTTCTACTTCTAAATGGTACTGACCAACTTCAACAATTTGAAGATAAAATGTCAGACGAGGAGTGAAACAGGGAAAGAGATTGTTTTTAAAAGATACGAGATGGTCTAATTTGCGTTTGAAAAGTGACGTTAGAGGGCTGATTTGAATAATTCCGTTGTGAAGCTCGAAATAATGTCAGGTGGGAGTTTATTCCACTCGGGTATAGTTCGAGGGAATAATGATGCCATTCTGGTCTGGGTTTTTGAGTGGGGAATTTGATACAAAAACTGGTGGTTTGTTCAGGATTTTCTAACTGTAGAGATT